AGGAGCTTTTAATAAACAAGTGGTTCATTTTACCATACAACAAGGAATCTTGGGGTAGGTAGTCTGGGATAGTACAGTTGGTCCAGGATCTCAGTGACCCACCATTCTTCTACTTTCCTGCCCCTGCCTCTACTCTGTGCCATTAATTCTTTGGGCACCACAAGGCATCTATAACTATAATTATAAACACGAGAAATTATGCTTGGGTTTCAGGCAGGGAAAAGGAGAAGAGCCCAAGGCCCCAAGGGACCTGCCTTTACAGAGCTTTCTGGAGGGCTTCCAGCTGTCCCCTCTCCTATCTTATTGTCTGGAACTGGGTCACAAGGCTACCCTGCTGCAGGGGACCCTGGAGAAAAGTATCTTAGAGGCACGCTAAACAGCACTGGGCTCCATCTGTAAGAAAGAAGGGGGAGAATGAGAGTGTGTAAACTTCTCACAGTGTCTGCCCCAGCAAGTAATACCAGTTTCCCATTTGAGGCAGTAATATAATTAATTTGTTTTTAAAAATCTTCGTATTTAAGTGAAAAATTAATTAAACACTTTAATGTAATGAATAGTCTAAATCAGGGGTGGTCAGTAAACTTTTCCTGCAAAAGGTCAGATAGTTAAATTTTTTTGTCTTTGGTAGCCATACAGTTTCTGTTGCAACTACTTTACCATCATAGGGAGAAAACAGCCACAGAAAAATGTGCAAACAAACAGACCATGACTGTTCTTCAGTATAACTCTATTTACAAGAATAGAAGGAGGGGGAGATTTGGCCTGCAGACTATAAGTTTGCGGTTTTGACATAATGGTGAAAGCTTAATACTTAGTTTTCAGCAGACACAGCAAATTCACCAAGCAAATTACTGGGGACCCAGGTTCCTTCCATCTTATTGCTCTGCTGTCTTCACCATAGGTTTCTCCTTTTTTTATGGTTAAGGGTGGCTGCCCTAGCTCTTGCCATTAGATCTGCATTCTAGCCAAAAAAAAAGAAGAAAAGAGGAAGTAGAGGGTATCCACTTTTCCTTTTAGGCCATGCCTTGGATATTGCCTGTATCACTTCCTCTCGTTACCTAGTCATAATTGGCTGCAAGGAAAACTGGGAGATGTAGTTCTTCGCAGAGCAGCAAGGTACCCCATCTAGAGAGTAGGTTCTTATTACTAAGAAAAAGGATCAAATATAGGCAACTCACATGCTCTGCCACATGAGCTAGAGATATAGACAAGGTTAAAGTTCTAAAATTGTTTTCTTCATAGTGAATAATTTCAGTTACTTTCATGCTAGTAATGCTATTTTCCAGGTACTGTTTACATGCTAAGATTTCCCTTTGTGCCCTGACCATGAGTCTCTCCAGGCAGCAGTGAGATCATATTCATCCTTGTGCACAGTGTAAAAAACCAAGTTAAAAGCATGATGGAATTTTGAAATTCTAGTTAGCGAAAAACATGGGGATTTTTTTTGTTGTTGTTTATCTGAAAAAAGCAAATGATACCACTTCAAGAGTCTTATTACTCAGCCCCCATGTTCCTGTTTACAAGACTGGAGATGCACATTTCTCTCCTAAGTTCTTCCACTTTCCAAGGCTTTTATTTTAAACCTGTCTGCGTGTGGCCCCTCCCCATTGTAAAACAAGGGACAAGAATCTGCTTTGTCCTCGTGGTCCCAGGCTTTGCACCTGTGGCAGCTGGTTTTCATCCTTGTCACTTTCGTTCAGTCATTGCCGCTTTTCCATTGTTGCCCACCAAAGAATTCTCAAGTTTTCCGGTGAGCTACAGTAACAACAGTAGTGAGAACACCTTGCTATTGTGTACACAGAACAAGGCTGGGACTCCCTCACAACGCCATGAGAGTTTCCCATTTTTTGTGTGCATTTTGCTGTTCCTTCCCAGTGCACCTCACTAGCTGCTCAGGGAGAGCGCATGGAAATGCCTGTACTACCCCCTCAAGAAAAGTACTGCCATGTGTAACGCAGAGAGGAGAGACCCCGGCACAGGGGGCATGCACACACCACCGGGTGGGGCGCTCACTTCTGACTGTGGTGAGGCTCCCTGCTGACAGCTGCAAACACCTTTAATTCTTTTCTTCATGGAAATAACTTCAAAATTCACATTTAGCCTTTAAAGAGAGCTACCCCTTTAAAGAAGAAAAAAAATCCTTGATGAATGCAAATTGACATTAAATGGAGTTTAAAAAAACGATCAGGGTTTTTAAATATGATTATAATCAGTGAGAAGAGTGGAGCAGAGTGGAATCATTACGGATCTCACTCCTGGGGTGGGAGGGAAGAGCTGCTGTGAAATAATGAAGAAAGGAGATTTTCTGGGAAGCCTGTTTCTCTGTGATTTCAGCCCTGGGACCCCTGAGATGCTGGGCACTTAGTTGATCCCTTTGGTTCCCCCCTCCCCAAGATCTGCGATCGTGTGGGAGGAGGGTGCGTCTCTGTGCAGGGGCTGTATTTGGGATTTTGAGGCACGAAGTGGAAAAGTGTCCTATGGTGTCAGTGTTGGAGTCAGAGTAGTTGTCATTCATTACGTTCATTTCACAGATGTTTAATGAGCACATATTGCATACCACACATAGTGTTTTAGGTGTTGGAAGAACTGTAGTGATCCAGATAGACCACTCATGGATCCCACTGAAGGGAAAGGGGCCACCAGCCACAAGTGCATTATTTAACAGCATAGGATATAGGTAGTCCCACAGTTTTGGAGGACTAGGACCCAGATCCTAAGCTGGGTACTTGGGATATCAATTCATTTAATTTTCTCAACCTCCCTTGCAGGAAGTGCTGAGATTCCTTCCCTTTTATAGATAAGGATGTTGAGGCCTAGAGAGGGAGTGACCTGCCACAGGTCACAGGGCTTGCTGGTGGCAGAGGCAGGATTTAAACCCAGTGATTTGGCTCTAAAGGCCAACTTTGGAACTGTCCCATCATTCTGCCTCTGCAGGAAGGTGAGATTCGACCATTGTCTCTACAACCCTGAGGTACAGGACTTGCTTTCAAGCAAGCTCACCCAGATGATTGGCTTCAAGCCTCACAAAGCCACCATTCTGGCCAAGTTCCTCTCCCATCATTTGTCTTTCAGCCCCGCCTGGTAGGGGGTGGGCACTTGAGTGGCAAGGATACAGGTGGCCTCCTGAGAATTACAGAGCACTCAGCTGGTCGCTTCCCCCACAATAGGAGAGCCCAAGCACAAAACAAACAGCAAACAAACAAACACACAAATGCAAAACCTCAAGCTGATCAGGAAATAGCCAAGAATTTTAATTCTACCAGTACCAAAGCCAAAGCTTTAATAAATGCTGATTTCAGTGGCAGAAGAGGAAACAAGCCCTCCAACTTCCTCCCCATCCAAAGTACCTTGATTTCAATAAGCACCAAAGCATCGCAGGAAGCATCATGTGCCCCTGAGGGGGCTGCAGGCAGAGGGGAGTTTTATTTATCAGGCCTGAGTGTCTCTGCCTGGCTCCAACAGATGACAGGGATCAGAGAGAGAACTTTAAAGAATCCTCTCAAGCCCTTTCCAATTTTCTTGAGGATCAGAACTGACAACTGTGCTCATTGCGTGTCCATCGCTGACGAGTTAATCCCAGGGTGTGTGTGTGTGTGTGTGTGTGTGCGTGTGCCCGAGCGCACACACGTGTCCCTTACCCCACGTTCTGAAAAGGAATAAGAGAAAACAACCTCAGCTGCCTCCCCTTCCTGACTGCTTACTCTGCCTCTGGTTGCAAGCAGCTTTTTCTACCCCGAGCTTTTGGGTTCCTTTCTGAGAAAAGAGGGGGCCCCAGGGAGCCACAGGACACAGAGGTGTGCAGCTCCTGTCCTGTCAGGGGCCATGCCCATCTCCAAGGACTCACTGCATTCCATGCACTTTCTCAAGAGCTTCGTTCCTCTGCTCTTTCTGCCCTTTCCAATTGTTTGGCTGGTTGTTGTTGGTATGAAGAGCTGTTTTATAATAAGCACTAAATGTCTCCTAAGCTGGAATTCAGAAGAGTACCCGGGGCTGTCCTCCTGGGTGGGTGGCCCCACGCTCGCTTTGATACTTGGCTGTTCCTGACATGAAATTCTTAATTTTTCAGTAACAGCCCTGTGTTTTCATGTGCACTAGACCCTGCCAACTGGACAGTTTGTCCTGAGAGTACAACGCCCCAAATACTGTCAAAGAAAGTGGTTTGAAACGTGAGAATTGAAAAAAAAAATGTTTATTTCAAGGGAAGAAACAATACCCTCATGTTCACATCCTAGAGACTAAGGGAGAGAGTGTGGACTTCTGGAAGGTTTTTAGATGCAGTTGAAGTTTTGAGGCACTGGAAGCAACAGATGTGAAAGACACCCACCCCTGAAGATGCATAAACCTTTCCCCCAGGAAAAAGGAGTTTCACAGTCTTTCAAAGAGCACCCAGGACTTTAGTTGTTTTTTTCTTTTTTTTAAAATGAATTTTTTATGTTATAACAGTTTCAAATTTAGAGAAAATTTGTAAAGGTAGAACAGAGAGTTCCCAGGGACTCCGTACCCAGTCTCCCCTGTTAGTGACAGCTTACGTTAGCGGGGCGCTTTTTTATAATTAATGATCCGTTAACTATTGACACATTGTTGTTCACTAAACGTCAGTTTATCCAGATTTCACCCAGTTTGTCCTAATGTCCTTTTCTTGTCCCAGGATGCCATTTGGGATCCCATGTGGCATTTAATCATCACGTCTCCCTGGGCTCCTTGGCCCCGACTGTTTTTCTCAGACAGTTGACAGCTGGGAGGAGCCCTGCTCGGGACCCCTCTGAGGTGTTGGTCTGAGGCTTTCTTTGTCATGAGGCAGGGGGTGTGCGTGTGGAGGAGGAAGACCACAGAGGTGAAGAACTGTTTTCATCCTATCATATCCAGGGTCCATGCTGTTGGCCATGAGCACCTGGCCAGGTCGTGTTCTGCTCCTACGACCTGACTCTTGGCCCACAGGGATCCTGCTTTTCTCTCCTGGAAGTGCCCAGGGCCTGCCTCATGCCTCTGCTGTTCCACAGGTTCCCTCGGCCGTAGCTCTGCCCTCTGCCCCATCCACGTCCCCTGTGATGCATGGCGCAATTAGTATTTCCAGAACGACGTTAACCCGGGCCTTTATCAGAGCTGCTCCTCGAGACCAAGTTCACCACCGTCTTTACTGGAACCAAACGTTATTGGAAAAGTAAATTACTTTTATTTTCCTTGAAAGTATTTGACATGAACTGCATTAGAATCCTCACTGAGAAAATATACCCTGAACCTATAATCAGAGATGTTACCTATAAAAAAAACAAAAAACCATCAGATGCATTTCTGCACTGAAACCTATTTTAAATCTTACCATTTACTCTGCACTCTTTCATCCACCCCATCTCCTCTCCTGGTGTTTATTAGTGGGTGGGCACAGCTTTCTCCCCGCCGGAGAACCGTCATGGAGGGGGGGCGCGAGACATGTTCTCCTCCTGCAGTCACGAGGCCAGCGGGGACCCTGCGCAGAAAGATGGATAGCCCTGGGTCCTCGTATATAGAGGAGACATATTTCTGAGGTAAACAGACTAATAATTTTTTAAGATAGTGTTTTTGAAGGTTGTTTTTGCATAGGGAGGTTAAAAGTGTCTCGAACTGACGTGAAGGATGAAAGATAGAGATTTTTTTCCACCCTGGCCATCCGTCAGTCCCTTGCCTTCATCTGTGTGGTGTGACCTTCTGAGTCCGTCTGGCGACCTTGTGAAGTCATTCCTCCTCCTGGGCCTGTCCAGGACCCCTGTGAAGTCGAGCGGCTTCCACCACGTGGCTGTACCTCTTTCTGCCCATGTGCAGCCACGTGAGGGACGTAGAGTCAAGTGTGTCAGGCAGTCTGTCCCCGGCCCAACCCAGGAGCCACTTGGGCCCCATGCTCCATTCTGCCCTCTTGGTTCTTCCCTCTGCCCCACCAGGTAGGAGAAATGGGCGTGGAAGGGTCTTCCTGGGTTGCTTGATTCCTCCCTTCAAGGAGCTTTCTCTTCCTTGCGTGGGGGACAATTTCTGTAGGAGCCCTTTGCCCTCAAGTGAGTGGTAGAGATGCTCCTGGTGGAAAAAAAGAAAAAGTAACTCTTGTCCTTCTCTGGAGTACATGCTATCGACCAGTCGAACAATAAAGGCCAAAGTTTGAGTTCTTTCTTCCCCCTCCCAGCTTGAAAAGAGAAGAAAAGGGTTTTTTTCCCCCTTTACATTTTAAAATTCTTGAGGGAGAAGTTATGAGCATAACAAAACTCTCATCTAGAAAATGTCCCCGAACCTGCAATTACTGGAGTATGGCTGCCTGGCTGGAAGCTCTAGGACGCATTTCCACATAATGCCCCTTTTAAAGGTTATTATCGACATCATGCCATCTCTGCTCCTCTCAGCTTTTCCCGCTCCCATTTGTGAGAGGCTGGCTGAGGTTTCTCACCCAGAAAGAACCTTCATCATAATGAACCAAACATAATATGTCTTTTCTAGTGGTTAGGGAACCATTCGGGGTAGAAAATGGCCTTGGGTTCTCAAAAATGGATAGAATGGGAGAAGTATTTTTGAGATCAGATAGACTAGTAATTTTTCAAAATAGACTTTGCAAAGGTTGTTTTTCATGGTTGTCCTAAAAAATTGTTAAAAGGATAGAAAGGGCCCCAGGTGGTGCGTTCTGTCCCCGTACCTGTCCCTGCCTTGCCCCCTGCCTGCGAGCTCTGTCTCCTGGGTCTTTTGGAACCCCATAACTTGCTCTCCTAAGGCTGTCAGGGCCATCACCAAGCTTGTGATATTTGTGAGGTGCCATCCCCCATGAAGATGTCTTTATTGATAATAATTATTCAGCCCAAGTCAACCCAGCATCCCATGGCCTGGATCGGCAGCCTTCCGTGACATGGTGCCTGGAGATTGGGGGCGGTGGGGAGCGACTGGCCAGCTTGACATCTTCAGACAGACTTTTCCAAGCACAGCGAGTCCCAAACCAGCTTCCCCTTCTCTCTACCGTAAGGGAAGGTGGCAAGGTTTTGCAAATAAAAATACAGGATACCCAGAACACATTTTCTTTTAAGCATAAGTATACCCCCAATATTTCATAAGACATGCTAAAAATGCTTTGTTGTTTACCTGGAACTCAAATTTAACTAGGTATCCATATTTTATCTGGCAACCCTTCCCCAAGGCAAAACAGTAGAGGCCTCTGATGGCTGTCCTTTCAAGCAGGGTCCTCTTAGGAGGACTTCATATGCCTGAAAATTTCAAGTCTGATTTTCCTTCTTAATCCTGATCAGTTTGGAGGTTCCTGCCCATCCTTGCCCAGTCTGCCTGGGGCCCTTTGTACAGCTGGGTTTCAAACACTTAAATGATTACCTCTTAATATGGAGGAAGCTGGTTCCCATGCACCAAGCATCCAGACCCCCCAATTTTCCCTGGAATCAGTCCATGTTGACTTCTCTCTCTCTTTCTCTCAATTTCTCTTGGTGTCTCTGCCAGTCCAACTGGGCTGCTGGGTCTAGATAAGGCATTGCCTTTTCAAGGCCTGAGGCATCTCCGCCAGGCAATGGCCAGAGGAGGGGGGAGAGTTGTCCAGGGTCTTCAACCTCAACTCCGCCAATAATGAACTGGCCAACTTCACTCTTTTTGTTTTCAAAGCTAAATGGCAGAAGAAAAAGGGTTACTTTTCTTTTCTCTTTGAAATTCGTGAGTGAGAGTGCATCGAAGCTATACTCTTCTGCCTTAGAAAATACGCTCAGAAGCCGTAACCAACAACAAGCCTGACCTTTTACATACAGGGCACATTGCTACACTAACACCTGTTTTAAATTTTATTATCTCGTTCCTGCTATTTCATCTTCTGTCATTCTCTCCCCTTGTATTTATTAGAGCCCGGGTACAGGTTTCCTTCCCTGAGAAAAGAAAAGAATGAGGTATAGTTGATAGTGGCTCAGAGTGAACGCAGGGTGGGAAATGTTCGACAAGGAAAATAACCTTGTTTTCCTCTGTAGGAGAGAAATATTTGAGGTAAAATAGGCTTATAATTTCTCAACACAGAAGTTTTAAAGGTTGCTTTTGCATAGAGAAGTTGAAAACTCCCTGAAGTGATGAAAAGCATGTGGATATTATAATTATGATTCTTTTGTTCCCTGCCAGGCGGTCGGTTTTCTCTCCCCGATAAACCAGCACCCTTTGGGGTTTGAGCCCACTTTCCATTTTTCTCCCCCTTTCTACAGACTGACTTTTTTTTTTTTTTTAGATTTTCGTGAGGGACCCAAGTGAGAAAACCACACAGAACCCACTCTGGGAGCTCTCAGCCCTCCTTTGATGGATGTTCATGCAATTTTCTCATTATTTTTCTGTCAGCGTTCATAGTAACAGTGTAAACTACTTTATTTCAAAACTATTATGTTAGTTTACTCCATGATCATTTAAGCTGTGTATTCCTTTTCTGATTTGAGTTTAGTAATAACATATTTTTAAAGATAAGTCAAGAAGATTTCTTGAATAAATTTTTGATGACAGCTGCTTATGGTTCAGATTTCCCCTTCGATAGCTTCCTGTTGAACCTAAGTTTTACATAATTGATTTAGTTTCATTTCTTTCTGTAAGTATTTTAAGTAGACCCTGAGACACTGGGAAGGTGACCTTATCTATGCAGGTGTTTCAGGTGAGCCGTTGCCCCAGACCACCACCCGGAGGGCATTCAAGACATTGCATAAAGGTGTGGAAGAGTTTCTAAAGGTGATCTTCTCTGCCCTCAAGGAAGGTCTACATATTTTTTTATTCTGTTCTTTCCACACCCACCTGAGCTTCCGTAAGTCATCTGTGAGGACTTGTGTGTCCTCCACAAGGTTCATCTCCCTCACCGTCCTCTACACCTGCTCCAGGTGTAATTTTTGGAATTTTCGGGGTGCCTGATGTTGTTTATACTCTTCTTCAGATAAGAGTTAAAGCCTGCCTCCCATTATCTGTTGTTCTATTCTCTGTTGTGTGAACAGCTCTTGGCCGAAGAAAAACCCCAGCAGCACACGCAGAGTTGGAGAGTCAGCTTTATTTCGCCGGCAGGCTCAGAGAGGCTTATCTGCCACCAAACTCTTATTTTTCTTTTAGTTTTATACTTTTTTGAGGGTTACAGTTAGCCAATGGCAAGTTTTCACAAAAGTCACCTCATTTACACAGTAGTCAGCAATCAGAAGTATGTCCCAAAAGTTACTTCATTTACATGGTAGTCAGCCAATCAGAAGTATGACCCCAAATCACCTCATCAGCTGTGAGTATTAGTAACTGCTCAATTTAGGAGCGGGATAAGTGAAACAGGCAGGTTTTGGTGGAACACCCTGACGTCGTCAGATCATGGGTTTCCTTTCCTATATTGCTGTATTTGTTTTTTAATTTCTTTTTTTACCTGGAGCCACGCCCAAGGAGCCTTGAGCAAGTGGACTCCCCTATGTTGCTTTAGAATTGCAAAACAGAGTCCTTTTGTGAATGGTCGAGTAGAAATCTTTAGGAAAAGCATAAAGATTTTTTCACATGCCCCAAAGGGTGGGCTTTCTGGGTGGTTCTAATATGTTAATTGCTGTTCCTTAAAAAAAAAAAAAAAATTAGAAATCAGATATCCTGATTAGTTTGGTAGGGTTAAAAATTATTTCTAAGGTAGCATTCTTTCTTTTTCCTTAATATTGCTTCTGTAGTCCTTCCTGGATTTTCAGGGAAGCTTCTGGGTTTGTGTTTAACTGAGATTTTACATTTTTAGTACATTTTAACGAGATTGATGAAATTTGGAGAAGATAAGGAGCGTAGGAGATAACTTTCTGAAGTAAAAAAAAAGTCCTATAATTCAAGTTTCTGTCATAAAAGATAGGATTTCTAAAGTTGGTGTGAGGACAAAAGGGCGGCTTCGTAGAATTCCTTTTTTTTTTTTTTTGAGACAGAGTCTCACTTTATTGCCCAGGCTAGCATGAGTGCCATGGCGTCAGCCTAGCTCACAGCAACCTCAATCTCCTGGGCTCAAGCGATCCTACTGCCTCAGCCTCCTGAGTAGCTGGGACTACAGGCATGTACCACAATGTCTGGCTAATTTTTTCTACATATATTAGTTGGCCAATTAATTTCTATTTATAGTAGAGATGGGGTCTTGCTCTTGCTCAGGCTGGTTTTGAACTCCTTACCTTGAGCAATAGCGCCGCCTCAGCCTCGGCCTCC